CCCTTATATTAAACACATTTTTAAAATTTACTTTTATTTTTATTTTAGTTTTAATTCTATCAACAACTTTTTTATTATATCAAACCAGGCTCGTGCCGTCATGTCATGTTTGGCAATCCCTGATGTCCTCTCTATCCATCCCACAATGACTTGGACCCCATATTCATCCTCTTTAAAAATTAAAAAAGGAAGACGAATTAGTCAAAATCGAAACGACAACTACAAAAACGTTGCCCCTGATTGAGTATTATGGCAGTAAGTGATCGTTGGACCACTCGATTAAGGCTAAAACCATAGAGGATAGAGCAACTCATTGCCATGGGTGGAACCTTCTCCTTTCTTTGTCATTTTTTTGGTTGGGATTGTTGAGATTCAATTCAATTCATCTTCCTCGTGGTCAGCAATACAAAGAATCTTAGTCAAACTTTATTTTTTTTTCCCTTTTTTGGTTTCATTCTTTTCATTTTTTACTTCCTGCTCCCTGCCTTTTTTCGGTTAACTTCATAATTTCAACTACACTTGATGCCTTAAGCCTCTAACTCGTATTAGCCAGGTGAAACAAATTGATCATGTTTGTGTTCTTTTTTATTTTTGGCAAAAAATAAAACAAGTCATTTTTATTAATATTAAAAATCATACACACGCTGATAGTCAAAGCTAACAAACAAAACACCCAAAAAAAAAAACCTATTCAATAAAAATGCAACACCAAATCAAAGGACAATAACTTCAATTACTTAATTAAAAAAACTAGCCACCTCAAAGTTTGAGAACCATGGAACCAATTAGATTCTAGGAATTTACTATTCGTCCATATTAAGAATGGATATGTGAAGCCTTTTCTTGTTGATGAAGTTGTGAGCCAAATGAATCCATTTCAGTTGTTCAACTATTGCCAACTTCAATTCTTCTTTTAGGTATAAAGAGTAGGCTTAACCAATAATAGAGAATGTCTCTTCCCCGACTAAAATTGTTATATATATAAAAAGATTGAGATGCAAACCCCAACTTTAATTGGTTATTGACTAAAAAAATGATATGTATGTGTATGAAATATTGAACTATGAAAGTATTTGTCTGACACATTTTATAAAAAAACAAGACAATATTAAAACTTGTTGACCAAATTGTATTTGATGATGATATTATTCAAATACAAACAAGGACCGCGAGAATCTCAACTTTCAATTTTTAACATGCATGGATAAGCTCAAATTTAGATCAATAAAAAAAAAGAAAAAGAAAAGATGAATAGTCATTCACTAAGTAGGATACATGCATCATTCTCATTATCAATCTTTTGTTAATTTTTTTTTTAAATGAAAGTGATAAAAGCAAAAGAGAGGAGAAGCGGAGCAAGGCTTGGTGGATGAAATAACGTGGACTCTTGGTTTTAAAGCACCAAATAAAAAATATTAAAGTAAACTTGTACATTCTCATCATAAATTTTTCTTAAATGAGAAATGATTACATATACAAAAAGTTTGGTGGCTCCAAATTATAGGGAAACAAAAAGGAACGATTTATAATTAAAACGCTTAATCATGTGATATTCAACCATGGGAACTGTATATTTTTATGATAGCTAGAAACCATCATAACAATAGCGCATAAACCCTGAATCAACTGGCTGTAATTGAAGCTGGAAGTAATCACTATGTGTGGAAATAAGAATCAAATTGATTGTTCCCAGATAACCTTGATTCTTGAATATTGGATGGGCTTCATATTTTGGGCCAATAAGCCTTATTACGAATAATAGCCCATCACAGTAGGGCCCAACGTGTGAGCCCAAGAAGGGGAATAGACCTTCTAGTCAAGTGGGAAATATCATTTAATGTGTAAGATTTAATTATTATTTTTTAGGCGTTTCTGCATGTTTAGATTTTTTTTCTTGGGATGTTGGATTTTTGGCAAAATAATGATGTTAGACTGTTAGGTTTGTTTTGAAATCTAGTTGCGGCTCTCGTGAGAAAACTAGCCTTTGTTTTTTTGGGCCAGGAGAAAACTAGCTTTTGACTAAGGCTAAAAGTTAAACTGTAATATTATTCTAAACTTGTGCATGATATTAGATTATTAGGTCTAGCAAAAAATCATGAATTTTCAAAAATGCCGACAAATGAATGGTTCCAATTTTCCAGCTGAGGGTTCTTCAATGGTCAGTTACAGATATTTGAGTTTTTGTTTTCTTTCTTGTACTTATATTAATGACAGTAGGAAAAGAAAAAATAAAAAGTAAATATGTATTCTGTTATAAAAAATCAATTAAAAAATATCACACAAGATTTTATTTAAATTATTTAAAATATTTTAATTGGATAGATAATAAATGACGTGGTATACTTGATCTACCTAAATATTTGTCTCATAAATATATATATTTTTTCTTATATATGTTCTTTTTGCCAGCATATTTTCTCACTTATATCAAACTTTGGCTTTTAATATTTTCTTCCCCTTCCGTTTTCATTTTATTTTTATTCACTAAAATAAAAATTTGGATTAAGATATATTTTTATTCTTGAACCATTTTTTATGAATGTCAGTCATTTTGTACTGATAAGCTAGACAATTTTCTCTCTAAACTTTTTTTTTTAAATTTAAAAAGCCAAAAACTCCTTTTATTAGTTAGCCATTAACTTTGTTGTTTTTTTGCTGATATGTCATATATATGAAGCTCATGCATAATGATAGCTAAGACTCTGACTATATCTTTTGATAATAATTTATCTTTAAATTCTTTTTTTAAGAATGCTGTACACTCTAAAGTCTTGTTAAAATAAAAATTTAATAAGTATTGTTAAAATATTAAATATTTTTCTTAAATAATATTATTTAAAAATATTCATCCAAAACATATAAATTATTTTTTAAATATCAATTAACAGCTCAAACTAATTTTTCAAAAATTTATAGATGAATTATAATTTTTGATATTGATTAAGTTTCTTAAATTTTAGGTCCTTCTTTGTAATTTTTTTGTTAACTAATAATATTTTTCTAAAATATTATACTACCTAAATTTAATACTCTCTACACACTACAGCAAGGTAAAATTAAAAATATGACAAATCAAAACTAACATGCCAAAAAAATGTTTATTTAGAAGATATTCCATTAATACACTACAAAAAATGCTACTTAACAAGAGAATAATGAAGAGATTGGGGGGGATCTCTCTAAAATTTAGAGATTCATTCCATTCATTTTTAATACAAAAAATATTAAATTGAGTGGTGTAATATTGGGAAATACCATTAGTTGATAAAAAAATTATAGAAAATGAACTAAAAATTTTAAAGAATTTGATCAATATTAAAAATATAATTGATATATAAAAAATTATAAATTATCTATAAATTTTTGAAAAACCTGTTTGAGCTATTAATATTTTAAAAATAATTTATAAATTTTAGATGAATGTTTATAAATAATAATATTTTAATTATTAAATATGTATTAAATTTTATTTTAATAAGATTTTGAGGTATTCAACTCTTTTAAAAAAATATTTCATGATACTCAACATTCATAAAAAAAAAAAAGAATTCATGAACGAATTAACACTAAAAAATATGATCAAAATCTTATTTATCATTAAGTGTAAACCTCATGTACATGCCACACCAACAAAAAAAGGCAAAGTTATGGCTGACTAATGGAATAAATTTTTTCTTTTTAAAAAAATTATTCAAAAAAATTGTTTCATTTATTAGTGCAGGACACCAACACCTAAAAAAAATTAAAAAATTAAAATACACCTTAATTCCAAAACTTTTGACCAACCAGACACAACAAAATAATGTTATTTGCAAGATAAATATACAAGCCGTAACCAAACTAAAGCGTTGGAGTACCGACTACCATTAAAGTTTTCTTTTCTTTTTTGTTTTTTGTTTTTGGGGTCCAGAGACTACCATTAAAGTTTTTGAATATGTATAAGTGTTCCCACCTATTTAGAGCTGAGAAATAATCAGAATCACATGTTCTTCTTTCTCTCATTGACTGCTTTTCTTCTTTTTTTCTTTGCTTGTTGTTTTGACCCTTTCCAAGTCCTTTAGAATTAGCTCCATTACGATTTTGAAATATTCAAACCAACAAATGGCGAAAAAAGAAAAGTCAAATTATGATTCTTTGAGCTATCTTTTTTTTTTTAATTACTTATACGTATATTCTTATTAACAACAATCATATTCAAAGTTCAGTTAGGTATTAAAAATAAGTATATCTCTTAATGAGCATTCAGAACGTGATTGGTTTTGAGCTATTATTTGGTGCAACACATTATACATGAAGACAAAAGATTTGGGTATTCGGTGACTTTAATTACGTAATACACAAGTTGAATATAATGTTTTCATGAATAATACATTTAACAAAACATCATAATTTTACCATATCTTACATTGATATTGGGATGTCAATGCTGTTGATTATTTTTATATTTTTCAAATATATCAAAAGATTTTGTTGGTCAAATATATTTCATAGTTTATTTATACATGCATTAGAAATTGAAATACCCCTGCAACTAACTCTATATTATTCTTTGTGCTGGCAAAGACTAAGCTCCACCGTGACATCATTAATTTTTTTTATAATTATTTGACTGAGCCAAATTTAAACATCATGGAATGTAGTTCAATTAAAAACAATTTTATTGAAAGTAATTTTTTATTCACATAAATTCGAATTTGAGACTCCTTGTTTAAGTGCCTATTCCACATGTATGATGATGACCTACTAGTGAGGGCATCACGTTTGATCAAATTAGTTGACCCAATCTTACGGTGAATGCGGCCCCAAAGTCCATTTGTCCAGAGACAACGTGGGAACTCGTCACGCATTTCCCGCCTCTTTTAACGTTCGGTTTCCTCATCCCTTCGACACATTAATTGCAACGCCTCATTATAATATAATATTCCTAAATTAATCATTAATCATGAACTATGAATCGCCTTCTTCCCATGTATGGCATTGACGATCCATCACATAATAATAATCTATCAATAAATATAACGTTAGGTCTGTCAGAAGAAAGATACTAAGCTTGGGGAACAAATTGTAGCTATCTATATCTTATCTATCCATCCATCTCATCGCATAAATTGAGACCCAAATTGCTCTTACTGGTTCTTCGTTTCCAGACAATGAAGCGTCATCAAACTCTGGTGTGAAGCTCTTCGTTCTGATCCCTGTTCCCCGGCACATTCCATCTCGGATCTGACATCCTGGCAACGCTCCGGTATTTCGGATTACTTGGAGCTCTCAAAGCCTTCTTAATCACGGACTCCAACCTTTTCAAATCTCTCTCTGTTTTCTGCACATTAACAATAGTACTGAGATAGATGAGAAATATTGACTGGATTTTCTGGAAAATTTTCAGGAAATGAGTTCGAATTGCGGAAGACGTCCTTGAACTTTGGCTATGATCGGAACCAATAGTTTGGTTCAGATTTCGAGATTAACAATTGCGAATTAGGTTTTAGTCTATTAAACAAGGGTTGGATCGAGGTGTGACACTGGATCTTGATATTTCTGAAGACTGTCATTGAAGAAGTTAATATGTGCAGCAAGAAAACGGTGAATTTGGACGACGAGCAAATAGCCGAGCTACGCGAGATTTTCCGTTCATTCGATCGGAACAACGACGGCAGCCTCACTCAATTGGAGCTCAGCTCGCTTCTTCGATCGCTTGGTCTGAAACCAAGCCCTGAACAGCTAGAGGGATTCATGCTGAAGGCGGATACAAACAACAATGGCCTTGTGGAGTTCTCGGAGTTTGTGGCACTGGTGGCGCCTGATCTTCTGCCGGCGAAGTCGCCGTACACGGAAGAACAGCTGAAGCATCTGTTCACAATGTTTGATAGAGACGGAAATGGGTTCATCACGGCGGCGGAGTTGGCGCACTCTATGGCGAAGCTAGGGCATGCTCTCACAGCAGAAGAGTTGACAGGGATGATCAAGGAGGCTGATTCTGATGGAGATGGAAGGATCAGTTTTCAGGAGTTCTCGCAGGCCATTACTTCAGCTGCTTTTGATAATTCCTGGGCTTGAGAATTCATCTTCTTTCTGGTATTGTCTCTTTCCTTTACCTCTCACAGACGCGTGATTCAACTCAAATTATCTTGTTCCTGTGAAGTTGAAAATCCATTTCTTTTGGGTTTGGCTACGTAGATTGTTAAACATTGAAGTATTGAATAGTTGATATCTTTTTGGACTCCTAAAATCTAAGCAAGAAGATCTTAATATCAAGGGCCATCATATTTGTGTCTAGCATTGAGTTACATTTTTTTGATATGGAACTCCGGCCTTATTGGTTATGTGACTCTGTTTTCTTGCAGAATCGGCAACCAAAGTCAGTATAGTGAAGGCAATACCGTTTGATGAAGAAGAATCCGAATATGTTGCTAGATGAGTGATTTCTAAACTTTTTCTTTAGATGCAGAAGTTCTGATCAGGCTGGCCTCTAGGGTTGAGTTGAAAGGTTTGCTGTGTCATTTGGTTCTGTGCCGTTTTCCAATATGAAAACATCAGCTTTCGTGACTCCCTGAGCATTCGATAATCAAAAATTTGATCATCTGTCAAACGACTTTTTGATATAAATTGAGGGTTGTTTAAAATTATAGAAAGAGGCTGCTTTTTCACATTTGTTCCACCAAGTTACCACTCAACAAGGATGTCATTCAGATTATTCTCTGTTTTGGTCTAGATAGAAAAATAAAAAAAAAAAGCATTTAAAATGAATTTTAGTTTTATTATACAAAAAATAAATTATGACGATGATCATGATGAAACCACTAGCACGTTACTTCTTCTTCTTCCTCTTCTTTTTGGGCCTCCCACTATGCATATTAATTAGCGTTTTTTTTTTCTATATGGAAAATGCTAGCAATGACCTTTTTTTGTCCGAAATAACCTCGTCTTTTTTTTTTAAACCAAAAATACCCTGGTGTCAATAAACAATAGCACCGAACAATTTTTTTGGAATAAAAGAAAAATGAAAATAAGAGTGCTGATAAATACAATTATAAAATTTTTTTAAGTAGATCGAGTACGTTATGTCAATTATTATTTGTTCAATAAAAACATGACATTCAAAAATAATTAAATATAAATTGATTATGACATTAATGATAGTAGAGAAAAAAAAGACAAAAAATTAAATATATATTTTGTTATAAAAATAAAATCAATTAAAATATTATCACATCAAATTTTATTTAAATAACTTGCCGCATTTTAATTGAATAAACCATAATTGACATGATATATTTAGTATACTTAAGAATTTCTCACACAATTACTACATGGTCCTCCTATCACATGAAACAAATTAGCACCGAACAAATTGTTTGTTTTGCATCTTGTAATAAATGAGGTAAAGTCTCAAATATACATTATAGAAAATACTAGCTTATTTTGAACCTTGCAAATATATGGAAATTACTTTAATTTCAAAATTATTTATAACGCTGTTAAGAAATTCAAATTCTTGAAAATTTAATTTAATTTTTTGAAAAAATTAATCTTTTAATCCTTCAACTTTTAAGTCACTTATAACTCAATTTTTTAACTATAATTCGCTATGATTTAATCCCTTAACTTTTGATTCACCCATAATTCAATCTTTATTTTTTAATTTTTTTAAAAAAATTTTTAATTAAATAAGAAGGATAAAAAATGCTCATACATTATTTTAAAATACTCTTCTCTTGCTCATTGATGTGAGATATAAGCTAACAGGAAAAAAATTAACAAAAGTTTAAGAACTAATTTGTAAGTAATTCAAAAATTAAGAGACTGAATCACAGACAAGTCATAATTAAAGAACTGAGTCACAGTGAATTATAGTTGAGGAATTAGGTTATAAGTGAATTAAAAGTTGAAGGATTAAAAAATTTTTTTTTTTAATTTTTTTATCACTATCTAATTGAGTCAATTTTAAGGATTGTCAAACCTAATTAGAAGTAATTCTTCCAAAAATATCTTTTACATTTTCACGTACTTGACATTGGAATGAAACCACGACATAAGCCACAACAGTTCTTCACTATAACCAACGGGTAAAAGTTAATTATTAACTCATATTATTAAATTTAAAATGCATCTTTTCTCTGCAACCCATACAACTATGATTCAGTGCTTTCTCGAGAGAAACAGAATCGGATGCTCTCTCCCTTCAGATTCATCCTCAGCCATTCTTACATTAATTTTTTTAACTTGACTCTAACGTTAACTTGAGTAAATCTCTTATATTTTTCTCATTAATCATCTGTTGATAATTCAAGATTATAAGTGCACATTGTCTAACACGACTTCTTCGATTTTCCTGGTGGGTTTCAGTCTTCCAGGGGAACTGACTAATAAGATGGGTTAGAAACCTGGTTCGTTGTGATCTGCTGCATGAGAGGGAGAGTGGCTTGTGGGCTTAGCTCTTACAAGGATTTGTGGGTGTAGAAGAGCAAATAAACAATCAGGCCATAGACAGCAGTGCCTGGAGCTAACTAAGGAGACCAAGTCAGATCACTGTTTCAAAATTTGTAACACATTCAAACCAAAATGTTAATAGGAAAATGCAAGAGTGATTGCCAAAAAATATAATAACTAAGATTAAGCTTTCTTATTCTTGGATTTAAGCATCACATATCCTATGAATATGCTTATGAAGCACAGAAGCGCCACACCAACAGACACAGGTATTAGGACAGCATACTCCTGAGGCAGGAAATACTTGTGAACGAAGTGATTGCTATCTACAAATGGCTGAAAACCGAAAGATCAATCGTTAATAATTGAGAAGTCAACATAATTATTTTGAAGATTACTTTTCAAGGTACCTACCAGGATAATGACCCAGAAAGTATAGTAAGTGAATATAGTTATGCTGATGAAGGATAATACAAAGCCAACTGCTCTATCAGCTAATTCCATGCTGATGGGCTATGTTCTCACTTCCTGTTAACACCATACAAATAACTCCCTTCATTTGCATTAGAAAAATATTAATAATTATCATAAACCAATCAGCGTCAGCCATCCACCCAAAATTGCTAATACAAAAAACAAACAAAAAAGCTGGATCACAACCAATTGCATGAAATTATAGCCTTGGAAATGCGTGTTCTGTTGTTTCTTCACACACAAACTTGAAATGAAGGTCTATTTTTAGAAAAAAATGAAATTTGGGCAAGAGTAATAACTTTCAAATCTTTCAATTCTAGAATAGCTGGTCGTTGCAGCCCTGTGCATTCAAATCACAGTCTTCGTTACTCAAGTCAACCAGATACAACAAGGAAGACATCTTCTGGTCACACATTAGCTATTAGTACCTGGTCCAAGCTTCATACCCCATGTTTAACTGGCATCCTAGAACTAACATAAACAAGAAATAAAGAATACAAAAACCTATCTTGGCAGTTGGCACAAATACAGCAAACAGATTTGATGAATTAATACCTCGAGACATTGCCTTCAGAATGGGCAAGTCTCATTAACACAAACAAATGCCAATGACGAGGTTTATCATAAACCTTTATTTATGTATATAGATTAAGATTTTGTTTTTGAAAGTTTAAAGCAACCAATAACAAGATCACCAAGAAAGTGTAACGAAACCAATAAGACTAGACAGAATCAACCGGTTTTAAGGGTGACATTGATGATGGCAAAGGGTAAAAATATCTGATCCTCCCCCCAAAACTGTCCAAATCCAAAGTGGCGATCTCTTTTGAATTTTAGCCAACTTCAGAAAAAATACGTCTCTAACATCTGAATTGGAAAATACTTGATATCCAAACCACCCAAAATATCTAAAAGAATACCACATTGGATAATGGATGGTTGGATAACAGGTATTAACTATTAAGCATGGGACGTCCAGTACAAAATATGCCTGATATCCAAAAAGGCAACAAGTTTACTGCAATTAGATAGATACCCATTATCGAGTTACTTTTTTCAATTAGCATGTATAATGACATTTTATCATAGTAATTGGGGCTAGAACAATAACCATTAATGTAAAAGCTTGCTCTTTCTTCTCCCTCCCCTACCTGTTCATTTTCCCCATAAAAAAAAATACTAACTCCAGTGAACAGTGACACCAATTTCAAAAGTAATTACAGCGTACAGTAATATCAAACATTATCGGGAAGCACTATAAATTACGGACAGCAATTAAATTTCCAAAGAAGGATGTTTCTGTGAGAATTTTGTAAGAAAGAAAGTTGAGCAAATATTCGGATTGAAGGAAGAAGAGACAACGAGGTTTCAGATTCCAGCTATTAAAAATTGGAATCAGAGGAGGGAAGTTGGTTAACCAATTCAAAGAAGGATCAATACTCGAAAGGCTTTTCTACAGCTACAAGCAGACAGCACACGGCAATACAACTAAGGTTCTGGTGAACGATGGCAGTGCTGCCAGGGCTGAGGCTGGAGCAATGGTTCTCCAATCAATTTACATAATAAGAGGGGGGAAATCTCACTAATTCGCATAACCTCTAATCTACCAGAGAGTATTTCTTGTTCATGCAATTCATATAATCACCCCAATAAATTTCGAGAATTAGATTGCAATTTCTCCAGTTCCCTGATACACCCAGCGAGTCTGAAGTCCCTATGGCTCTCTTGAATTCCAAAAAGTAGTTTGATTACGAGAATTTCAATAATTACATCGATGAGATCCATGCAGCGGCACGAGAGCGAGAGCGAGAGAGAGAGGGGTGCTTACCTAGATGAAAAAGGCGGCGATGATGTTTCAACTGTCAATACAAGGCGTCGCCGTTGATCATGGAACTAACAGCAGCCAGTAATCGGAGGAAGAAAAGAGCACAGAAGAGATGAAAATGATGTGAATATAGGTTGCGAATGCAAGGGAAAGTGCATTGGCTCGAAAAGAATCGTTGACGACATGCAATTAGGAAAAACATCGTCCAAACCCTCCTGGGTAATTGTAGAGATTAGCGACAATTTTATTTATTCATTTATTTTTTAAGTCTTACGAATTTAAAATTTGCAGGAAAAATGAATTATTTTATAATGAATTATATATATATATATATAATACTTGAAAAACTTATAGAAAAAAACTATGTAAATGATAGTGGAATCTCACGAAACATGATAATTCTTCTTAAGTCCTTGTAAACCTTTATAATGTTAATGATTTTTGTTGAAATAACTAAAAATTCCCAATTCAAAATAAAAAGTAAATATTATTAATTACTTTGATTTAAACAATGATTAATTTTATTCATGTAATAATTAGAATGGAATAACAAATTATAACTTTTACTGTGCAAATTTTTTATTGACTAAAATTTAAATATTATAAACATCTGTATTTATTTTAATTTAAATAATGATTACTTTTTTTTTGGTGATAACTAGAATGAAATAAGAAATTATAACTTTGTTGCACACATAAAATTTATAATTACTTTTTTTATTCTAATTATTATTAAGAAGAATTTTAATTACTGCTTAAATTAAAATAGTCACTAATATTAACTTTTTAAGTTTAAATTAGGTATTTTAATCATTTCACCTAAAATCATTGATGCAAAATGGGGAAGGAGAAATGGGTGGAGAATATGGAAAAAAGATAAAAGGGATTAGCAGAGAAAATAGAGAGAAAAAAAAACTCAAAAGAAATGTGAGGTAACAGTATTTCTTATTTAATCAAATGTGAATCTATAAAAAATAAATAAGTTAAAGTATTATTTATAGGCTTCAACATTGACCCTAAAAATAAATGCAAGAAATTTTTGAAATTTTAAAATTAAATGAGAAGATAATAATAATAATTTAAATATTACGATAATTAAAATAAAATATTCTTAGTTAATAAAATATATTTGATCTTTCAATCTTTTTAAATCTTCAATATCTTTAATTATTTTTTTATTTTTCTTCCTATCAATCATTTATGTAAGAAAGATCCTTGAGATTTGAAAAGAATTATGATATTTTATAAGACTTTATTAGCATTAGCATGTTTCAAGGGAATTTTTTGTCATTTTCCAATATATATCATGTTTGAGTATATATAAAATAAAATATTTTTTCATGAATTATAACACCAATCTTAAATTTTTTTTTATTTTTAATGAACTATCAACATTTGAAATTACTCCAATGTATGGAGTATGGAGTAATTTCAAATTGAACTAGAATTGTATTTCAATAAAAGGGAAGGTCTTTCAAGTTTTTTTTTCCCCTTCTTTTTCTAAAACTGCAGCTCTGAATGGAACACTTTGCTTGGTTCCTCCACCACACATGCAAGGAAAACTTGCCTTTGGGTTTTTCCTTTTGTGAACAATTGATCTTGGATGAGATTCCACAGACTAAGCATGAATTAAGATCTTCACAGTTGGGATGCTAGGAACAGAGTTGGAAGCTTGTCATTTAGAAGAATTCTCTAGTAAAGATTGTTCGCTTAAGTTTATCGGGACATCTGAAAAATCTGATGCAGACAATTGTACTCCAAATAAAATATATCAATACATGGCTTTGCGTTTAAGTACACCCAACATACTATAAGTGTCCTAAGCCTAGAAATTCAAATGAGCACCTTACCTCAAAATGAAAACCACCAAATCTTGGTTGGGTCAGGTTAGAAGTAGATAGCTTTGTCGATTTATATGGATTAGCTACTTCTGGAGGGATAATTTGAAACTCACAAGGATCTTGAAAAAAGAGATTCACAAAGTTTCTAGGATATCTTCTTAGTAACAATGTGGAGTTTTTAGTAATCCTCACAAAACTTGAATTATATTGGCAAGAAAATTACTCTCATATTAATGTTCAATATTATGATTCTTTAGAAGCCATTCATCTTATTAAAACCAAATACACTCGTAAATCTTTTATCAATTCTATCAAAAGAATCAGAAACCTTTTTACGCTCGATTAGCAGGTCTTCATTAACCACATTTTCATATATTTGTGTTGACTGGTCAATTCATCAAATTGATAAGGATAGTTTCAATATTAAAAATTTTAAGGACCTACCATGAAAGTATAAATACCTTTTAAGTTCAATTTTTTTTATCTATAACTACACCCTTGTCAAACTAAAAAAGTAGACATTCATAATTATATCTTAACTAATTCCAATGCATAAAAACATACTCCATATATTTTAAATTATAAGATACTTTTAGACAAAATTTTACATACCAATAAAATTCATTAAAAACACTTTACAACCCTACTATTTCAAGATAAAAATATAAACTTTTAAAATTGCCCTTCATTAATACTCCATTGATAAAATAATAATAAAATAATATTGAAGAGAAAGAATACATGGGAAGAGTAATAATGAAAAAGTATCATTAATGAAATATTACTTTTATCAAAGTATTTTATATTTTGGGATGCTCAATTTTTTCTAAAACTGTCTTATAATTTGAGACGAAGGGAATACACAAAAATATGAGACTCACTTTTATCCAAAGAGCCTTTGTTATGAAGACAAGCTTTTTTAAACATTATTTTTCTCCAGTGAGACAGGCACCTCTAGTTCTATTTACTGGACAAAAAAATTAATTTTAATCCTATTTATATACTACTTTATTATTTTTATGTTTATTTTTACTTTTATATTTTTATTACACATTCTTATCAAAGAATAGAGAAGAAAACTTATTAAATTTTAAGATAGAGTTAACAAATTTTATTTATTTTTCTATCTCCATGAAGCAGGTATGCATAATTATTCATCAACTACCTTCACTATTTCACATACCATAACTGAATTCTTCACATGCCCACCCACCTACGCTACACTGAGTAACAAATTTAGAAATTGCACGTACCGTCATATTCTTTTTTTTTTTTTTGGCCAAACGAACGTACCGTCATACCCAATTACACCACTTTTTGCAAAATAATATGAACCTTCACATCATTATATCCACCAACCAGCCATATTATTATTACTATTTTCTCCTTTGCTCTTTCTCTCCCAAGGTATTTTTATGCCAGCTCCTCCAGAATAAAAATAAAGTCCTATTAAACTTCGCATAATCGGAAAGATAAGAACCTAAAAAGGAAGAATCCTTGCTAAAAGGAGACATCAATTAAACGTAGAAATCAGGATACCCATGAGACAAGGCACCGAAAAACAAAAAACCCGGATTTGCTTCTTTTTGGGCCGCACAAAATATGCCAGTCTTAGTACTGGGCCTTTTTCAATACCCACTCTTGGATTTTTCCTATCTCCCAAAAGCTCAAACAGTAAACACAGACGAGAATATGATCATTGACCCCAAAGACAAAAGTTGACACGGAGAAAAAAGGACCCGACTTTCCTATTTTGTTACTGCGTAAATATAAAAACAGTGGTATCCGTAGTTAAACTTTTTAAAACAGTGAACTAAAAATTAGTGTTTCAACCGGAGCTGCCTTAAAGTTAGGTTGATCTTAACTAAAATAATATAATTTAACTTATATATATATATATATATAATATTTATATTTAAATATAAAAATGAAAAATTAAATAAAAAATCATTACTCTTACTTAAACAACCTAATACAAATTCAATAGAAAAAAATATTGTACATGCCAACATAATCAAAAGAAAAATTCAACAAACTTATTAACATCTCAATAAAAGGTTAAATAATTTTGCTTAGATAGCCTAACAAAAATTTAATATAAATAGAAATTGTCTTTATCACAACTAATATTTAAAGATTATCCTACAATCTACTCCACAAATCTTTTACATAATTTTATCATAATTGCTAAATTTATCAAATTTATTATTACGATAAATACGATGTAACGGATTGGGGTGACCTGTCAAGTTAGAACTGAGTTGATCAGATTGATCCATGTTAACCCTTCCCTAAGTGAAGTCATAAATCAAACCAATTGGGTTATCAGTTGATCGGTTGGATTTTCTATTCATTGATTAAAGCAAAACAAGAGGTTCGTGATGGTCGGCAAAATTGCATGGAGCTTAAAAGAGTAAATTAACTAATATTTTGTGAATTCTATTAAAATTATACAACCCTTTTAGTTATTTTAGTAAAACACACAGAAGATCAATAAACTCTCTTTATTTTTAAACAATACTGGTGTATATTTTCTAAAAAACGAAATATTTATACAAATAAAAAAAAGTCCAAACGAATAAAGAAAAAAGGTGTAAAAGAAAGATAAAAGAGGAAAGGGAATGGAATGAAGGATAAACAAACATTGGATTCCCGTGAGATTAAAAAAAGTAAACACGCGAATCGTGACGTGGCACCGAAAAATGGAGACAAATCGAATACTTGTATGTAATTTTTTGGCCACAACGTATAGTTGTATAATTTTGTATATTTGTATTAAACAAATCACAAGTTGACTCCATCACTCGCAGTCACTTCTCAATTTCTCTTCTTCTTCTTCCTCCTCAGCCGCTCTATGCACATCTGCGACTATGCATAGACTATCTCTCGGCTCGCCTTCCTCCAAGCTCCACCTCCATGGAAGCCCCAAGGAGGTCCCGCTCTCACCACAAGAACCCAAGCGCCGCCTTGAAGTCGACGACGACAACAACAAGACTCATCGATTATCACTATCGCCTTCTCCGACACCGAACAAGGTCATCCATCTCATCCCCGTTCTAACACTCCTCTGCTTGTTCATCCTCTACCTCTCCTCTCACAATCCCTCTCAATCAGGTACTCATTCTGCTTTAACACTGCGCCTTACCATCAATCTGCCATTCCTCTTTCACTATTTCATTTCCTTGCCTTTTTGTTTCAGACTTGGCTCAGTTCAACGGGTTCAAGCGCTCCTCCAGTCATTTCGGTATGATGCATTTGCAGAAACCAGAGACGGTTTTGATGTTCTGGAATTTATCTAACCATGTTTTTTTGGACTGATTTCATATTTGTTTGTTATCTATAGATTCGGCGGTGGAGATGAACGGCATTCAGAAGTACATGAAGGTAGAGAGAGGCGATGTTTTGGCGATTCGAAGCCTGCGTAATTTGCGAGAGATCGGAAAACAGTCTCCGAAATCCCGACCTCACAGGAAATTCGCGGATTTCTAGCCCGATTTCTCGCTGCCTTTCATTCAATATTCTTATTCGTGTATATCCGAATTGCTTGTCAAACGTTTTTTTTTTCTTTTTTTGCCGCTTCATTTTTGTACAGGCATTTCGAGTTCGGAATTGATTTCCATGGAATAATAATCATACTACTCATCATAGATTTGCGTTCTTGTTGGAGCTGTAGCAAACAACGGTGAACGGTGAGTGTAGGATAAAAATGCGAGTTCCGGCGAACGGCGCAAGATAGGATAGGGCAGTGTGGGGTGCGCCGAATGTTGGAATACAGCTGGACTTTGGGACCGTTAACTCATCTCGATTTGCGGTTGAAATGCCAGCTGTAAATGGCTGTGCTCATCAGAACAGTGCCTTCATTTTCACTGAAATTGATTTTCCCAGTAGGCCTTTTGGCCAAACAAAGTAATCGATTTTTTGATTTTTCTCAGTATTGACTGTTGCGTGCCATTTTTCTTCGGGGGATATTGCAAGTTATTTTGTTGGGAGCAAAATGTTACTACTTTGGATAATAGAGAGGGTGAAGCGAAATTTCATTAATTTAAAATTTTATTGTATTTCATTAATTTTCGGGGATCTCATATATTATGTAGGATTTCGCTGATAATCCAGTGCATGTATTCTGGGTTTAAAATATTCCCAATCCTTTTGCGGGGATTTACAAGTGTGGCGTTCTGGGGAGGTAAGAGTTTAGACAGAGGGCGTCACGCAAAAGCGTCGGTGGTACTTGATCAAATTCTAGTACTTTATCATTGTGGCCATGTTTGGGCTGATTGGGTACACGTCGCCGTAGCGTCAAGAAGTCAATTATCATTGTCAATATCAATAATCAATGTCTAACCCTAGCTGTTATGGCTCAATATCTCTGGAGTGAGAGCTTGAAACTTATTAATAGCAAACCATAACGAAATAATTACGCTATTAAAATCAGAAATTGTACCAAGTTATTTATAAATACTCCCTCCTTGTTTTTTTAAAATATTTTTATACATATTACAAGTCCTTTTACAATTTTAAAACAACATGCAATAATATTTTTCTTAATGTTCTATCTTCCCTTAATATAATAATTTAACTAATTTATTTAATACAGTTAAACATTTATATCCATTATAAAGTAATTGAATAAATGGAAATTAATTTTTTTGGTACGAATATAATTTACTCATACCCATTACAAATATTTGGCCAGTGGATAAACTTGGCGTCGTGTGTGATACGTGGAGCGGGTAGGGAGGTATTATTATGAAGGCTTAAGTTGGCGGTGGGGGGAGGATTATCCAAGTGATGGTAAAAGAGGGTCCCACACAAACGACACAAAATGGAAGGTGATGTTTGCTGTCGTTTCTCATTGTTGGAGCCGCTGCACCACGTTGCCACGCAAACATGCCGACGCCGTTTCGCCGTTAACGCTGCTTAGACGTCGCCCGCCCTGACGCTCAGCTGATCCTCCATGACCAATGTGTGTTATATGCTCTATATAACTTATTATATGCCCTCTCCTTGATAGCTTTATTTTCTCCACGAATTGATTAATATTTGTAATTTTCAAGGTATATAATTAAAATTTGAAAATTTTAATCTTGTCATTTTTTGCCATCAATCTTGTCATTTACTATCAGTTTTTTTTTTGGCCTGGATTTATTAGGTACTCATCAATTATCAGGTATTCGAGCATTCGAGTCAAGTTGGTTTATTAAATACATGCATGCACCACGTTATTGACGAATCGCATAAAAACTAATAATTCAATAGTTTCTTTTAAATATTAAATAAAAGTTAAAATCATATGTGGGTAAAAACAATTATAAAAAGTTTGGCATATGTTTTTTTTTTAAAGAGAAACGTATTTATAAAAAAAATATGATGAGTAGATTTCTCATTTCATTTATGCAAATACTTTTTAACCTACTAAACATTTTGTCAGAGTTCAATCTTCATATACAAAAATTATCAATTACCAATAGTGTTTTATCAAATATTTACCTTCTATCTCAGTCCAAAAATATTTACCTTCTATTAAATTGAGGCATCTTATATACTTCCTTTGTTAAAAAATAAAATATATTTTTTGTGAAATTAAATGTTAAAAAATATAAGACATTTTTAATATTTTGATGTGTAATCATTGCATTTTTTTAAATTGTTCATAATAAATAAGTCATTTTATATTTATTTTAAAATAAAATATTGTATTAAATAGAAATAAATATGAAAAGATAATGTTAGTATGAAAAGAAATAATTACTTTATTAAAAATAAAATTTAATTAAAAATATTTTATATTTTTAAAATGAGGAAGGATGTGTTAAAAGTGAGGCAAGTCATATGAAGGTGATATATGACAAAAAATCAATTAAATCGCTCCAGATCACAGAATAAAAATAATAAACATGATTCTGACTCGGGGTATTAAAAATCCATATCATTTTCATGAGACATGGAAGTTATTATGGGAAGTTAAAAGAACGCTGTGAGAATAATGACCAATGAACTTGTAAAAGCAACCTATTAATACCTCTTCATGACATCTAAGTCAAAATCAAGAAACTACATGTGGCAACGCTTGATGGAATTGCAAAGTTGACGCTTCAATTTATTATTTGTTAATTTTATATTGGTATTATTCATTAAAATAACAAATTAAAGAATTTTGTTGATGGAGTGGGTTGGGCTGCTATTCCTTGACAGCGAGTTTAATTTACTTAGCGACTAAGCATCCCAATTCTTTACAGCCAAAAATTAAATAAATAAAATATCCTCCTAATAAAAGTTAATTAATTATTAATAATACGATCGACATTTTCTAAACGCGTTGGTTTGAACTTTGAATCCTACACCAACTAATAAGAAAACCTCATTAATAAATTAATAAATATTCTATAAATAACTTATCATTGATTATATTGAACTTTGTTTTTCTAGTAACGCATCTTTATTTTCCTGCAACTAACAAACGCGCTCGTGCAATCCATTTGAATGAAATTTCATTGATCCTTAATTTTTTTTATCATAAATTTGTGTGAAATTATGATTTTTTTAAATTAAAAAAATGAAGACAAATATCCAAGAGGTTATCTTAGAAGAAAAAAAAAATACTAAGCTAGGTTATGATGACTCTCACATTCCTCTTAACCTTGTTGCTTGAGTCAACCTAATCTTATATTAATATGACCGAATTAAGTCCAGGGCCGGATGAACCGCCTGGGTAAGCAGTGGAGTAATAAATAAACAAATAAGTAATTGCAAGATGGAGGCATTTGTAAAAATGAAAGTTTCTCAAATGCATAAAGTTCAATGATGAAGCTTCCTTTGATAAAATAAAAGAAACTGTTTTGAAGCGTTACGCTTAATTTGTGAAGACGACATGTGAATAAAAACAATGAATGGATGATAGTGATAAAAGGGCCAAAAAGGTGGGCCCCCACGAAACTGAAGAAGACAGCTGTGGGTCCCACCATCACGGGTGGCAGTTTTCCACCACCACAACTAAGCTCGTGAATGTGAACTCTCCCTCACATGCGATCAATCGCGGATAACCAGCCATCCAGTACGCGGTCACACCAGTTGAATTTGAATGCTGATCACTTGTGACGGTAAATTCTGAATCATTTTTTTTTGACCAAAGTTAAATTCTGAATCATTGAAAAAAATGAACACTAATTTAAAAAAAAAAATCACCAAGAGATTAGTGGAGGTATTTTATATTTTAAGATTCTGAGTTTTTACTACACCCCTTTGTTTCTTAGCTGAAAATGAATTTTTATAGACAATGACCAAGTTACTCTTAAAATTTAAATAAACAAGTATTCACCCTACATAAATAACAAGTTAGCTGAGTTTTGATAACAATTAATTCATGATTAAAAACAACACATCCATAATTTAATAATATTGAAAAACTAATAGCATAAATTTAATGAAATAAATGTTTATTCTGTCTAAACAAGTTATTTGAATTTTAATAATAATCAATTTATGACTGGCAGCAACATATTTATAATTTAACAAGATAGAAAAATTAACAGCACAGATTTGATGGAACAAGTGTTTACCCTGCATGAAGAAGTCATTTTAGTTTTGGCAACAACTAATGACAATAACAAATTCAAACTTTAACTGGATTGAAAAAATAATAGTATGGGTTTAATGAAAAAAGTATTTACCTTGTATAAATAATAAACAATCCGGTCTTAATAATAATTAATTTGTGATTAATAATAATATGTTCGAACAATAACAATCAATTTTTATTTAATTGTTTTTCTTTTATTAAGAGGATACATGCTACCATATAGAATTAAATTTATACAAAACATTCTCCCAACTGACCCAACAAAAGTTCTGGCAAGGGGGGCGGGGGGAATAGAGAGAGATTGAACTTAATCTTTCACCCTGACTGAGTAGGGAAAGTTTAGCTTATATAGCCCAATTTGTTGAGTGGGTTGAGCTGGAAAAAAAAGAAAAAAAGTAGCTGCAATAAAAGCAAGATTGTTCGGCTTAAACCCTTCAATCCATGGAATAAACAATCTAACCCGTTTAATCTACAAGCTGGCATGACTTTAACTACCTAAATACACACTATATTAGGAGATAGTGTGTAACCAAATGATTTAAATTAGTTTAATAAAGTAGAGTATTTAATAAAAAGAATTTAACATGATATTAGAGTCAATCGATTGGGGACAACAACTAGAAAAAACAGGAAAAGAAAAAAAGAGATTAAAAGGAGAGAGAGAATAAAAAAAATTACATATACCCAAGCCTCTAAAATTAAAAAAGGTATAAGTCCAGGCACGAAGGAAAGAAAAATGAAAAAAAAATAGTAGATGAAATATTAGAGTTAAAATAAGCTATATATCTAGAAATTAAAAGATAAATTATAAATATATAAAGCTTGAAATGTATCTAATTAAATAATTTAAGCTAATTTTGTGACGTAAATGACTATTTTTAAGCACATTTAATACAAAAAATCTAACACACTCAACTAAACATACGTTAAAGGTTGAATGTAATTGCATTTAGATTAAGTGCTAGTTTAAATTTTAATTGGGTATAATAGATTATGAAAATAATTAATTAAATGATAGATTTTAATAATAATTGATTATATTATAACACAATTTGTTTTGATACAATTTTTTTAAAATTAATTTTAGTATAATTAAAAATATTTTAATAATTTATTCAAAATTAATTTTAACTATATAAATTACTATAAAGGACATTGCCTTTCAAAATTAAATTATTGATAAATTTGTATCTAATATTATTAAAATTATTACATTTTATTTAAGAAGTAAAATATATTTTTTAAATTACATATATAATTAATTAAAAAATTTAAATTATATTAATATTAACATTTAAATTTATGTAAATAAGTAACTCAATATATCTTAGTTAAAATAAATTTAATAAAAGAGAAATATTTAATTCTTAAATACTAAACATTAATTTTACAACTAATGAAGATGATAATATATAAATTAATTTTTAATGACATCATGGATATAAGTTATATCCAGCGAAGATGTTAAGCACTACCTTCAAATTTTAGCAATATAAAAAATGTAACAATATAACAAATGATGCAAACTCTCTCTCTCTCTCTCTGCAGCAATCTTTATAATGACCTAAATTAAATTAAATTAATTTTTCTCTATTAATTAATATTTATTTGAACTAATTTTATAGTAAGTGATAATAAGTAAATGATGGTGATTAATAAAAATTTATACTAGTAACTTTTTTAAAGATTCAAAATTTAAATTTTATTAAGAAAAGAGAGAGAGAAAAGAGAAGAGAATTTAATTTTATTTTTATTACATTTTGTGTCTTTTTTATAATTTTTCTTTAGGTCTTTCTTTATAATTTTTTTCAATGTTTTTTGATCAACTTTCTGCGGAAGCTCCAATCACTAACGTTCCAAAAACTTCAATTTTAACCAAAAAAGATCAATTACGAGTTGTTTCAGGTGTTTGGGTGATAACTCAAAAAAATTGACTTGAGTCAAAAAAATCGGTTAAATACATATCCAAACACGCACTAAATCAAATATGACGAAAAGTATCATGATAATTGATAATACCTGTTAAAAGAACATGTTCTAATAATAAAGACATTAATATGAAAAATAAACTGAAACTATTATCAATATTAAGTTCAATAAATCTTGTTGAAATTCAAACCATCATCTAGCTAAAACTACCCCCGAGGCACACATCTTGTTCGACATCAATAACAAGGTGGCGGTTATTTTTATTCCATTGCCTCCTATAGAACTTGAGCTTCACTTAATTCATGGAGTAGTTAAGCTCAATAGTCAATACTATATGCGTGCCTGTGTAGCAGAAACTCCATTCTCGAATTTAGACTTTAGACTTTCAATTCTTTCGGTAACAGTTGCAAAGGCAAATTATCACCCCCCAGTATATCTTTGTTACATGAAAGAGAATAAGCAATTGCAGACATGTTCAATAAACTAGCGAATTCAATCTCAAGCAAAAGAAAGAAAGAAAAAAATACTGGTCTAAAGGTGTCTTATAGAAACAATTCGCAGAATGTATATACAAGAATGTTAAAGGATCAAACCCTGAGCGGGAGGTGGCTTTGAAGAGTGCTGCTCACTTGCTGCTGCTGCTTTTGGAGACTCTGATAGAACCTGTGCATATTGATCCTCTACTTTTCGCTTTTCTTCCTGTTCTGCATCCTCCACTTTCTCTTTTGTCTTTTGTCCCACTTCTCCAGCTGCCTTAGCAACCTTGTTAAATGCACCAGTTACCCAGGAAGCCCCAGTAAGCACGTATCGGTTCTTCATCAGAGCGGATCCGGCCGTACTGACTTTCTGTTCTGCAGCTGCAAATGCTGATTTGGTCTTCTCTGAAACCTGGTACTTTTGATCCACCTCTCGAACTCTGTCACTCACAACCGAAGCACCAACACTTATTTTCTCAGTAAGCCCAATTTTCTGATCAAAAGATGCAACTTTAGCAGAGGCTGTGGATGACAACTGGTGCCTCTCATCAAAAGTCCTTGCTTTGTTGACAGCATCTTTCCCTAAGATGAAGCCCTTGGCTAGCATGCTTGAGACCACATCCTCTGCCTTCCGGAAAGCTGAATCACCACCAACAGGAGTCTTTGTGGCTGTTTCCTGCAAAAGATCAACGGTTCTTAGTCCAAACAGTCTGGTTAGTTTAGTGCAGAAGTTCTACGCAAGTCTTACAGATGATGCAAGAGCAGCAGGTGGAAGCTTGTAATCAGGATCCAGAGTTACTGTAACTGATAGATCGACTATTGTTGCTCCCTATCATGCATGAAACTCTGTTAAACTTGGTTACACGCAGTAAATTACATAAATCAATACATAAAGAGGAATAATTAGCAGAGATTGTAAAATTTGTTATAAATATTCGGAGGCATGCAATAACTATAGAGGCACATGCAGCACAAGCTCAGATTAGCGTATGCTTGCATGTTAGACTCTCCAAACTCTCTCTCTCTCTCTCTGTTTTTTTGGCAAACAAATTTGTCATTTCATATTTTTGAATAATTATGTTACGTAACCCATAGTCATATAGCAAGAAGATGCTTCAATCTAAAGCAGAGGGGGAAATTTTTCCAGCCTCACAGGAACCAGTAAAATATGTCCACTAAGTATAAGATCATAAAACCTATAGTTCCAGGCTTCAGAGAGAAAGGTACTAGCTCTTCCTTTGAAGTTCCAACTACAAATTATTTCATCTTCAAAGGCAAAGGGCGTATGAGAATTTTATATTAACAGTTCTGTTTGATAAGAAAGAGTTTTTCCCTGATTTGAACCCTCAATTGTAGCATTGAGAACTTGTGGATAATTATCATTTTCATAAATTTTTATGAGGAACAAACCATCTGTCTTAGCAGGAAAACCTTAAAATAATCAATAATAAAAAAGAATGTAAAAAATACAGAAATTTTGAGGGATCATAAAAAACAATTGAATAATACATGGCGATTTGAGATTCACTGACATGTGTATCGCTGAAATATGGTTAAGGAAGGGTTGCATGAAAAACTTTTGACAAAAAGAAGCTTTTGAAAGCCATTCTAGAGCTTGTCAGTTCTAACCATGCGGAAGTCTTCAAAAATATTATATTCCTTATATTTCAATGATAAAAAAAGTCTCCATTATTCATGCAAAAAACTCCATATGTCAACTCAGAGTGACCTTTTGGATATTGACGAACAATCATCTAGCGTAAAATACACCATAATGATACATATCAAATGATGGTTGACAAGTTACCGATAGTAGCACTGCAGTCTCAGCTCCTTGCAAATCCTTGAAGGTGACATAGGCAGTTTGAGACCGTTCATCATGACTGCAACAGCACAAAAGCTTATCATTTGTATCTAAAGAAATTAGGATTGAAAATACAGTAAAAGAATAAATCAGGATGTATAACACCGAACACACCAACTGACCTCTGCATTTCAACATATTCAATGTCACCAGAAAATGAGAAAAACTCTTTTATGTCTCGTTCTGTTGCTCCCAAGGAAACATTGCTCACTTTAACAGTTGTTAGCTGAAAAGAACAACACACATGTAGTAAAATTCTGTGGAAAATCCACCTCCATATAGCTACAGCATTTTGAAATCCCACACCAAAGGGCAAAGACAAACAAAAGCACTCATCTATACTTTGTTACTGCTTTTAGAAGCACTTCCCACATGGTGTCTCCCATTAGTTTTTTGGAAAAAGAAACACACATGAATATTATGTTATAACTGCGTTCAAGTTGTCAACCCATTCTCACCGCTTGTTCATGGTGTTTATAACTTGCTACTTCTAATGCATTATCTTTATGTGGTGTACTACATAGAGACAAGAGAGGATATGACATATAAGAGGTTGTAAAGCCAACGAAATATGTTAAATATGTAAAATCTAGTTTAGCAAACAAAAAGGAGATTAAATAAGTCTAATTAGTTCTGATGTAATACATTATTCTCAGTCAACCCTAAAACTAGTTCAGATAGACAAATGAGGAAATAACCTTAACCCACAAGCTTGATGTTAGAATCAACATTTCAAACACATGCTGGTCAGAAACAACTGTACTTATCCACATCACACAGTCATATTTCAATTAGACAGACTACAGAGAAATGCATACTTGTTTTTAAGCTTCAATTTTGGCTAAGAACGTACACCTGAGTCATTTTTCAAAAGATAAGAGTTTATCTCTTTCCCCACTTATTACCAAACAATTTATCTGATTAACAAAATACATAAGACATTCAATTACTCCACAATCAGGCACCTCGTAAAATGAGGTCACCTAGCACTTTCAGTTGTTTACCATTCAATCTTATGTATTATTTCCCAGTAATATTGTTGCTTGTCCTTGAATAATATATATACATTTGCATAAAATTTGCACTATTATCTTCGTGACGTTTTAATCTTTAGGAAATCCTTTAAAAATTTTTTGTAGGAAATAATAGGATTGTTTATAATCAACCTGTACTTCCGCTTATTTTTCAGCTTTTCAATCCCTTTTCAAAACGGAACATAAACTTCAGCATTGACTTCAAAGCATCAAGTATTCAGGTCTAGATTTCAAAGCCTTGAGTGTAAGTGTTTAACATATCAGATTGTAACAGATGTTATAAGCAGCATTCGTATCTACACAGGCACCACATGGACGCCTGCGATTTTTGGCATTTTCCCATTCCTGGAGTTCACTATAAACGCCTCCATCAGCCGATAACATATTGCTAAAAGGTGAGCTAAACAAGGTCCAAACTTTTCAATGGGAAGAATAAAATAAAATCAGAAAAAAGAGCCTCGGATATCAGCTCTGCCTACAGTGTGAAAGAGGAAGATTTAGATTATTGGTACTTGGTAGGGTAGATAATGTTCAGCTTTGTCAAATTTATCTGAAACGGTGTGACGAGACAAGAAGTTAGCTTTGTTCTAAGATTGGTATCAAGATCGAATATAAAAATGATACCCTTTACCCATTAAGTGAATTGTAACCGAAATTTAATAAGCCCGTGGAAGCATTTCCAAGATCTATGCATGTAATTCTGAGAAAGGGATCCCTTTCATAATTCTGAGAAATGTGAACCGCTGATGGCAGAAAATGAACATTTCATAGACCGGCTTCGCGGAAATTGAGGGTATGCTGATAATTATTTCCAAGTCAAAATCAGAACAGTTTCCAAATCAGAAGAACAGACACTATCGCAGACATTTCATCCAGCTGATATTCAAACAAGCAAAAAACCTTCCCAATCCAGAAAAAGATCGAACTTGTAAAATGTGATATATTACTAATAGCAAGATCTTCAAATGTGCGAAACATACCAGCAGTGCGCACAATGATGAGAAGAACTCACCGGCATCGCGAGACGATTGCAATAAAAGACCTCCGGCGAGGAAGAAGAGCCGCGAATACGAGCGGGCAGGTCGGAACTATGTCTGTAGCAGAGAGTCTAGGGAGAATCGAGGTCAGCGAAGACGAAGAAGAAAATGGCAGCGAGACGGAGCGCTCTTGAATTTTATTAGACAGGGAGAGTTTGAAACACGCGCCTGGTTCACATTCGCACGTGGGAGTGTCGTGAAGTGCAATCTTAACGAGAAGTTTTCCTACACGGAGTTGGACCGTCCCGGACGGCTTACTACAATTAATTACAATACGGCTAATATACTGCGTTGGCGTTAAGATTTATTTATAAGTAATTAATATATTTTTCATGGATCAGTAAGTGATAATATATGTAAATATTCGTGTTTAATTGACATTTAAAATTTCGTAATTCGTTTTAATTAATTAATTAATTAATTGATAGGACCAGTTCGTTACTTAGAATAAACTCCTATGGATGGCGTACGTTAATCTAAACAATGAAGCATCGTCTATTAATGTGATCTGATTTAAATTGTTCTTCGTGACATTTTTTAGGTTTTAAGAGCATTTTACGTATTAGAGTTACACCAAGATAAGCAGTGAAATGAAGTAAAAGATGATGTAGAAATCTTGTCTGGCAAGATGCTGTTTCGTAATAAGGTTTGGAAGGGGCATGAGTGGCATTTTCAAAAGTCAATGTGTTAAGAGATTCATAGGGTTTGTTTACCAACATATTTTGATAACCATTTTTTGCTATTCAAAATAAAAGAATAAAAAATTTATTTAATAATATGTTTTTAAAAATTATTTTAAAGAATATAAAAATAAAAATAATTTTTAAGTGTTTGGAATTATTGTTCTGAAAAATAAAATAAAATGAAAAAAATATAATTTTTATTATTTTTTATTTTCAAAATATATTTTATAAAACATTAGTTCTTATAGTAATAAAATAAAAATAATTTAAAACAGTCTTGTAGTCTCTATTCTTATCACTCTAAGAATCAAATCCATTAGCATATATACTAATTAAGGGACTCGGGTCCCTTCTATTTGAATCAACACGCAAAGGTAATTGGGGCAACCAAAAAAAATTCTCTGAAAAAAAAAATTCTCGGGTATAGTAGTGTGTGTGTGTGTGTGAGAGAGAAATGGAGAGCCAAGAAAATTATGAAGGCATTGGTAGTTGTGCAGTGCATGAAGACACGTTTTTGAAGCAGGGAGAGGATATCACGATCACGATTTGATGAAGCGTGTTGGCGTTTTCAAGAATTGATGATTGATATTGTCTATTGAGAAGGTTCGCGTGAGGCCGATGAGAAAGGTACCAGATTTTGTTATGCGTGCCTGGTCACGTGACTTGAGCGAAATCTACAAGTTTTTTAGTTCTCTTCCTCAACACATAGCTCATTGGATTCAAATTAAGAAAAATGTGTCAAGGTATAGGGTTTCAGAATAATTCCTTGTATGCCTTTATATTGTTTAATATGTAAAAATGTTAATTTGATTATCAATTAAAAATTACATAATATTTTTGTACTATTTGTATTATTATGGTGTACAATTTGTGTATTTTGTGCTTTGAATTAGTGAGTTTTGGTTGTAAATATAGAAATTCATGCTTCAACTGAATAATTCATTTCAAAAAAGTTTTCTCATTACACCACAGCTTGGCTGCTTTTCTCATGGGCTTTAAATAGCCATCAAGAATGAGGCAAGAAAACAAGAAAGACTCAAAACGCAAGCAGAGGCATGCAGGCCCATTATAAGCCCAGACCTTACTTGACTATTGATCTAATACATACTGATAATGATCTAATACACTTTAAATTTCAACACTCCCCCTCAAATTAGGCCTGAAGATATTAAAAGTGCCTAACTTGTATAGCATATCCTAGTGTAATTTTCGACCAAAAGTCTTAGTTAAAATATTTGCTTGCTGGTCGCTTGATCCTACATGTTTTAAATTGATCAGTCTACTTTGAAGTTTTTCTCGCACAAAATGACAGTCGATTTCAATGAGTTTTGTTCGCTCATGATAAACTGGATTTGAGGCTATTTGAATTGCAGCTTTGCTGTCACAGTGAATGCACACAGGAGTTAAGTCATACACATGTAAATCTTTAAATAAACTAGTGAGCCATATAATTTCAAACACAACACTCCCCATAGCCCGGTATTCTGCTTCAGCAGAGGACCTAGAAACTGTGGTTTGTTTCTTTAATTTCCAAGAAATAATTGACCCACCTAGTTTAACTAAATAACCTGTGACAGACCTTCGAGGCTTTGGGCATGAAGCCTAATCTGAGTCACAAAATCTTTCTAGCCTTAAATTTCTTGTGGAAGGGAATAAAAGACCTCTACCTGGATCCCTTTTAAGATATTTTACAGTATTTAATGCAGCCTTTATATGTGATTTTCTAGGATTACTCATAAATTGACTCAGCACTTGGACCGTGTAGCTTATATCAGGTCTAGTGTTTGTTAAATCTAGTAATTTTCCAATCAGACATCTATATCTAGCAGGATCTGGTAATAGGTCATCTTTCTCCCCCTTTTTGGCTTACTGTGAAGTTTTAGACCAGGATTTAAGGGGACATTTCTCGGTCTAGATGCTCTTAAGCCAGTGGTAGTTATCAAATCTAAAGTGTATTTTCTTTGATTTAAAATCAATCCTTTACATGATCTAGCAACCTCAATACCAAGAAAATATTTCAATGCTCCTAAATCCTTCATTTTAAAATTTGCATGCATGAATTCTTTAGTTTTCTTTATCCCCTCTTGGCTGTTTCCAGTTATTATTAGGTCATCAACATTAGCCAACACAATATTAAACTCATCTCTATCTTGTTTCGTAAACAATGAATAGTCATGTTTACTCTGGACAAAACCTCTTAAAACTAAAGCCTCACACAGCTTTATATTCCACTTCCTAGCTGCCTGTTTTAAACCATATAGGGAGTTAATTAGTTTACATACCTTTTTCTCCCCCTGTTTACTAAATCCCGATGGTATTTTCATATAAACTTCCTCATCTAAGTCCCCTTGAAGGAAAGCATTATCAACATTTATTTGAATAATGTTCCATTTATTATGTGCAGTAATAACTAATACTGATCTTACAGTTGTCATTTTTACAATAGGATAAAAGTTTTTAGTATAGTCTATTCCTTCCTTTTAACTAAAGCATTTTGCTACTAACCTTGCCTTTAATTTATTTAGGGTCCCATCAGCATTATACTTCTTTTTAAAGATCCATTTACAGCTTATTGGTCTCTTTCCTGGTGGCAAGTCAACTACTTCCCATGTTTTATTATTTTCTAAGGCAGTTATTTCATCTTACATTGCTTTTATCCATCTATCATCCTTAATTGCTTCCTCAAAGGTGTCAGGTTCACTTATGTCATCTATAACAGCTATGAACTCCCTATAAGATTGTGAAATATTTGCATAATTGATGCTATGTTGCATAGGGTATAAGATCTTCTTATTGCCTTTCTTGTCCATTTTATTCAGAAAGTCTATATTAGTACAATCATAATCCCTAAGCCAACTAGGTGCTCTCTTCTGTCTAATGGGTCTGTTATTATCTAAGTTTTCATGTCTTCAACTCCCTAAGTCATTAGTGTTTTTAGGTGCAATATTACTATCATCAGATTCAAGGTTAGGCTCATTATTAGGATGTATAAAAGAATCAGAAGGAATTGCAGGGGCAGGAACATCATCAAAAATAAAAGGATCTTGAAAATGTACCTGTTCCTGCTGGTTAGAAGTAGCCGTCTGTTCTAAAAAGAGAAACTGGTTTTCAAGAAAAACAACATCTCGATTGACAATTATATCATCATTTTTAATGTCATAAAGAATATAACCCTTTTGATTACTTAGATACCCTAGGAACGTGCATTCAACAGACCTGGCATCTAATTTGTCTAATCTTCCAGGGATCTTAGCATATGCTAGACAACCAAAAACTTTCATATTTGATAAGTCAGTTGCTTCCTATATAATATCTCATATGATATTTTGTAATCTAAGACCTTTGAAGGAATTCTATTAATGATATAACAGCAGTCCTAACAGTTTTCCCCTAAAATTGGATTGGCACACTAGCTTGAAACATCAAGCTTCGAGAAACCTCTAATATATGCCGATGCTTCCTTTCTACAACCCCATTTTGTTGTGGGGTACGGACACAAGTAGTTTCATGAATAATACCATTTTCATTAAAGTATGTAGAGGCTGATAGATTCACGAATTCTGTTCCATTATCACTTCTGATTCGTTTAACCCTGGTAGAAAATTGATTTGTTATGAGGGAAATAAATTTCTTTAGATAATATAAAGTTTCATGTTTATTATGCATGAGATAAATCCAGCTGGTTCGGGAGAAATCATCAACAATGATGAGGAAAAATTTGTAACCATGATGAGTAGAATGTTTATAGGGACCCCAAACATCAACATAAAGCAAATCAAAGCAGGAATCAGTTTTTATTTGACTAGAGGGAAAGGACAAATGGGTCTGTTTTGCTTTAAAGCAAATATCACAGCTAGAGGAATTAATAGAAGACAACTTGTCTTGTAAAGGGATTACATGTTTAAGGATAAAATCAGATGGATGTCCTAATCTTAGATGCCAAATATTTTCATTGGAAATGGTATTACTATTATGAATATTAGACGATGGGACAAGATTTTCATCAACCAAGTATAGACCAGACTCTATTCCACCAATCGTATTGGTTCTGCCACTAAAGAGGTCCTGTAATAAACATTTGTCAGGAAAGAAGGCAACCACACACTGTTGATCTTTTATTAGTCGAGAAATTGATATTAAATTGTAACAAATTCCTAGAGCATATAAAACATTTTTCAAAATAATGTTCTCAAATATCTTGATGCTACCAATGTGAGTGACCGTGAGTTTGTCAGTATTAGGAATCTTTATTCTAAATGAGTGTCCACTGTATTCATGATAAGAGTCAAAATACAATAGTTTACTTACAACATGTCAAGAAGCTCCAGAATCTAATAACCAATGTGGTTGTGGGTTAAGTGTAGGTGTACTAGAGAATAGGCAAGTGTTCAAACCTGAAAGCTTTACCGAGTCATTAGTGACTGCTCTTCCTACCGAGAGTGATTTAGTCGAAAGAGTCTGGACT